TTTTTTTTTTTTTTTTTTTTTTTTTTTTTTTTTTTTTTTTTTTTTTTTTTGTTTACATTTAGAATGAAACAATAAGAAATATATAAAAATATATTTAAAATGTGCAGTTTTATTTGTACTGTATGTATTTCGAAATTAAAAATTTTAATTGAAATTGAAATATTACTCGTAATACTTATAAATACAACAGCTCCTATATCCATTGTCTTCAGTTAGTGTTAAGCCTTTAAGTATTCATCCTAGCCAAGATATGAGTCGCATCTCCAATATTCCCTTAAATGCCATATACGTAGCACCCGTAGCTCTTGGTTTGAACTATTTACTCTTGATTTTTTATTTCTCCAATTATTTAATGTTTCTTTTAGCTGCAAAATGTATTTAATTTTTAGTTCTTTTCCAACTCCTATGTGCCTTATGTCCCGGTTCTTTTTTGCATACAAAACTCTTGAACTTAATTTGTGTTACTTTCAGTTTCAGTTCTGTTTTTAATTTTTTGAGCATCTTTAGAATTTAGATCGTCCCTAACCTAACACAAAAATGCAAATAAAAAGAAAATCAATAATCCTCCAAATAAAACTAAAAATAAGGTGGACTACCCTAGTATTTAAGCGATCCTCAAGTGTTTACAACTGAAACGAGTGTATCTAACATAGATTACTGAAACTCAAGAACTAGCCTTAGGCCGTCCATCTATTGGATGATCCAACTGTAGTTGTAATCTTAGTGGTTAAGCAGACTTATAAGGGCGGAGCTGGAATACAATCGATAGAAGTTTTATACACACTGAATCACATGAAGTTACACAGTTCATCGATAGTTTTCGAGCTCACGTTTATCGTGTACCTTTGAGGTACATCTCGATCCGATTTATGTATCGTTAGTGTTGTCGAGTTGTTGCTGCTGCCGTCTTTGCTATGATTGCCATCCAAATTTATGACACAATTGGACCTAATCTCACTTAGTGTTGTCGCTGCCTGAAAGCATAAACCAAACCAAAATTTAAATGGAAACCCCCATTTGGCTAACTATATTTGAATAACGTCCACAGCTCGACAGCAGCTCGAAGTGCCGCTGATAACTAACCACAGACATTAAGTATAGTCGTGTAGTCAGTTTAATATCGATCGATTATTGAAAATTAATTATTGTACTTTATCGTAATACATTTACTGTATCGTATATATAAATCTATTTATATATCTATTACCGTAAATCTTAATCGTAATCGTAATCGTAATCGTGAACGTAATCGTAATTGTAATCGTAATCGTAACTATAACTATTTTTATTTTAACAGTAAATGTAATGATAACTATTATAACTGTATCCGTACCTGTACCGTATAATGCGTCATGATATCCTATTTGAATTTTTAGTCAAAGTTTCTTTTTTTTTTCGTCTCATTTTGATTAATATATGTATTATGTATTATCTTTTTTATTCTCTCTCTCTCTTTTTCTTTTTGCTCCTATTTACACACTGCCTCGGCGCAAAATGCATGCCAAATTTCAATACGAAACCAAAACCTATAAAAACAAAAAACTCGAAAATAAATCATCTATGCATTCTGTACCGAACGCCATGACCTGTGTCTGTTGTTCAACCCAACCACAACCACAACCTCAACCACAACCACAAAAAAAATTAAAATAAAAAAAAACATCGAAACCAAACATAAAATACACATCAAACCTTACAACTTGATATCAAACATTAAACCAAAATACAAAATATGAATACATAAAAAAAAGGACAAACCTACTCAATACCGCCCGATGCCGAGTTTCCATTTAAGCCGCCTTATTATCAGCCCTTCGGCACTGGAGGTAATAATAAAAATACGCAAATTCGCTTCTCACACTGCAAAAGTCAGCAAAATATAAATAAACCAAACAAAAACCAAGCCAAACCTTATATATAGAACATTGATCAACATTAACACTAAAACCAAGTGAAACAATATAAACTGTACAAACTACCTGAACTGTCAGAAATGACGCAAGCTTCTAAAACCTCATTTCTACCCACATAAAATGGTGTGTGATAATATCTACTGTTATATCAACTTCAAACCGAACTCATCTGCTGGCGGGCTAGAGGCTGTCAAGTCGGGTCAGATAGATTGCCCCTGTTCACGATTTGACAGCGATCGCCTAGATTTCTAGCACAGCCCCTACGCTCTGCACCCCACACCCACGCCCATGCCCACTCATCGAAAGCTTCGCTAACAACGAGTGCAACGAGACGGCATCGAAAGTCGCACAGAAGCATTCCGCATTGCCCGATCGCCTCGTCACGCCACAGGCAGCTGCTGTCATCACTAAGCAAACGCTTCAATTAATATGTACCCACCATCTGAGTGGTACGCCCATGTGTGTACCTAAATTCTTAGGCGCCCCAACCATATTGCAAACATAAACATAGTTATAACAAATGAACGGTTAAAGCAGGAGCTGCTTAAGCCTGACGACTTTGCTACAATGTGCAGCCAACCTAACATGAATGCGCATTGCGATAGTTACCGATACATAGAATATGTGCAGTTAAAAGTTGCCGAAATGGGCAGCACCTGTTAGACGCAGCCAACTTAACAACTATAAATGCACAAAGTGCTGCCAAACGTCAACTATTTCTTTCGCTTTACGATATCTCGATCTTTTTTCTTTAATTCATACCTTTCAATATATATTCTGTGAATTGATAATAATTCTCTTTTATTTTCCTAAACTAAACTAGACGTTTATCGATATATGCATATGTAATTCATACAGTTATCGATATACTTCAATTGTGCTCTTAGATTGCCAACGTTTTCTGTTTCTTATCTATATTTCGATGTTTTGTATTCAATTTAGAGTTTTTCGAAACATGAAAAAAAGTTTATTAATAGAATTAAACTTACTGTGCTTTGACAATATCATGTGCAATCTCTGTTGATATCTATCGATAAGCATAGTCAATTTGATATTCATACATGTAAAGTGTCTTGATAGATTATCAAAATGAACTTTGTTTTTTTTTTTTTTTTTTTTTTTTCGATATATAGAACTAGCATTAAATTGACTGTTCTTTGCCAATATTGCATTACATATATGTATGTACATATGTATCGATACTTACCTATGTACGCTGCCTAGATCGCATACATCGATATTTCGAATATTTTACACATTCTATTTTCTTCGACAGAGACTAGATCTATTAATCAATCATAATGCTAAATATACGAGCTGACGAGTTGACATTTCCGATCTATCACAATGTCCGGCATTGACACAGATGTTGTATATGTTTTTCTATTTTGATTGCCTTGTCAGGTGAAGTACCTGGTGTCGAGTATGATACATATTTGAATGGGTAAACTCGATTAAGTTTAACATTATGTTTAGGTGGTGTCGTTACAGTGCAATATAAAGCCGATCTCTCTCTATATCCTCTATCTCTCATTCTCTCGCTCTCGCTCTCTTTCTCTCTCTCTCTCTCTCTTGCTTTAACCGTTCCACACCTTACATCTTAAGTTTTTGAATTTAAGTTAACTTGAAAATGGATCGGAATTTTGTTATTTTGGTCTTGCATGTTGGATGTTGGTCTGTTACTAACCAATTCCCTAGGGCTGAGCTAGTCAGCCCCCTTAAAGACGCATTGCATGCTAGTCACCCCCTCACTTGATATCTCGGTACTAATCCATATTTAACGGTAATGTAACGGTAGTGTGCTTTAGTTATTTGGTAATCGTAGTCGTGGTATATCTTGAGCATTTTATTTTTATTGCATTGCTCTTCATTCTTCTTATTATTATTCGTATTATTGTTGTTATTATTGTTGTTGTTGTTGTCATTCAGCATGCCGCTATAATCGTAGCTAATAATACCAACACATCTCACCCCAAAAACTGATCTGAAAGACGATCTGGCCCAAATCGAACCGACCGAACCGCACTCATTCACTTCACCAACATATTCACAGGTCAAGCGATATCCCAGGATGTGACCAGGCCTGAGAATCAGGTGTTCTCCACGGCGGAGAGCTCGTCGGCCAACGATGATTCGTATCTGGGTTATTCCATGGTCACTGGAGATTTTGATGCAGATCGCACTGAAGACGTTGCCATCGGCATGCCGCGCGGCGCCAATCTGTCCGGCAAGGTCGTCGTCAATCGCTGGAATATGGCCAACATCATGAACATATCGGGCCACCAGATTGGCGAGTACTTCGGCTATGCGCTGGCCAGCAGCGATGTGGACGGCGATGGACTCGACGATCTGATCATCGGTGCGCCCATGTACACGGAGCTGAACAATGTCGAGGGCAAGTACGATGTGGGACGTGTCTATGTGGTGCTACAGGGCGGCGTATCTCAGGTAAGTCTGCGGACGGGACTAGCTCAGGATTCGACTTTGATATCCTTGTTTGTTTACAGTCGGATCGCTGGAATAACGAGTTCATACGAGAAGGTTTTCAGACCAAGGGACGCTTTGGCCTGGCTCTCACCACGCTGGGTGATGTCAACGGCGATGGCTATGGTGACTTTGCAGTGGGTGCACCCTACGATGGACCCGAGGGCCGTGGTGTGGTGTACATCTATCATGGCTCTGCCCTGGGTCCCCTGCTGAAGCCCTCGCAGATCATTAAGGCTGAAAGTCTGGTCGAGGCGGCTCCATATCCGCGCACCTTCGGCTTTGCGTTGTCCGGCGGAGTGGACATGGATGGCAACACGTATCCGGACTTGGCCGTTGGCGCCTATGCCTCGGATCAGGTGTTTATTTTCAAGTCACGCCCTGTGGCCGCTGTCAATGCGGAAACGGTGTTTGCCAGTGCCTCGAAGCTGATCAGCCTGGAGGACCGCACCTGCCAGCTGCAGCGCGATCACAAGATGGTGCCCTGCATGCCATTGAGCACCTGCTGGAGCTACACCGGTCGCTATCTGCCCGCTCAGTTGGACTTTGAAGTCTCCTGGCTGCTGGATGCCAAGAAGACGCGCAATCCCCGCATGTTCTTCCTGCGTGACGAGGGCAAGAACATACGCAACCAGACGATCCGACTCGCCTACGGCCAAAGATATTGCCTCAACGAGACCGTCTACCTCATGGACGGTGTCCAGGATAAGCTGACACCCCTCGAGGTAGAGGCGCGCTACAACCTGCGCAGCAGTCGCCCCATCGAATCCCGTTCCAGGACACGTCGCGCAGCCCTTGAGCCGGTCATCGATCAGAACCGCGAGATCATTCTACGCGATGCGATCAACATACAAAAGAACTGCGGACCGGACAACATCTGTGAGCCCGATCTGTCACTGACCGTAACGTATGTTCGCTTAGCTCTTAACGTCTTCTTTCCCTTTGTGGTCTAATCGGATTCCTCTCCTTCCTTTTCAATAGGGCCGTCGACAAGTATCTGTTTGTGTCTGGCGAGCCGCTGACCATTGAGGTGCTCATCAAGAACAACAACGAGGATGCCTTCGAGGCTGCGTTCTACATGATGACGCCCAAGGACTTGCAGTTCACCAAGCTGCAGCAGCTGGGCGAGAAGATCGACATGCCCATCACCTGCTCAGCGCCCGATGCCAGCAACAACTACACTCTCAAATGTGACATTGGTAATCCGCTTAAGGGTGGCAACATGGTGAGTCCAACGATGAGGTAATCCCGAGAGGTCAGCCTAATCCATTGAAAATCGACCAACAGACTCACTTTGCGGTCAGCTTCGTGCCGGCGGAGAAGCACACGAAGACGTCCAGCTACGATTTCTATTGGGTGGCCAATTCCACAAATGTGGAGCGCAAGAACTCCGAGTACGATAATGTGGGCAGCAAGAGCATTGGCGTCTGGGTGGAGACCGACCTGACCATCAAGGGCACCTCGCTGCCCGACTATCAGGTGTACAAGGCAGCCGACTACAAGGCACCCGGCAATGCCACCACCGAGGACGAGCTGGGTCCACAGGTGGTGCACATCTATGAGCTGCGCAACAATCTTAGTTCGTACATTGAGGGCGCCGTCGTGGACATCTACTATCCCTATCAGACCGAATCTGGTGATCCACTCATGTACATCGTCAATCAGCCGGAGACTGGCGGTAAAATCCGCTGCGACATGATCGAGGTTAACGAGCTGGGCCTCAAGCTGAACGAGAAGCAGAAGAACAAGTCCTATCTGCATGCCCAGGGTGCGATAAGCAACTCTGTGCCGGCCACATGGGATGCTTCGGCTGGCGGCGAGGAAGCTGGCGGTCATGTGGAGATCTCGCATGGCATCCAAACCGGAAACACGGTCGGCGTCACCGTCGGCAACGACAACCAGCGCAGCCTGACACCCAAGCAGAAGGAGATGTTGGAGCGCGAGGACGCCCAGGATGCGGCTGGAGACGCCTCCTTTGTGCACTTGGATCGTGCCAATCAAGCGGGCTCGAGCAGCAGCCACGAGGCGAACATGAATCAGAGCAGCGGCAGCTTCTCTAGTGCTGGTTTCATTCCAGCTGCGCCCAGCGGCGAGTTGCTCAGCCACAGCACCCATGGCCACATTCAAATGGCACCGCCTCAGGTTGCCTCCGGCTCCAGATCCAGCTACCAAATGCGACCCCAACAGCAGCGGCAGCAGCAAGTCTATCTGGCTGGCGGCCCAGTGGACAAGTCAATGTATGGCGGACGCAATGGCGACTTCCATGCGGGCACCCTTGATCTGGGCACCTTCAACCGTGGCAACGTGGACAATGAGCTGCACAACAGCCAGGTGCAGTACGGCCAGCCAGCTGTGCAGCGACGTGTGGTCTATAGCTCCGGCAGCAAGCCGTACTATGGCCGTGAGAACGAGGACTTTTACGACGAGGACAATCAACAGCAGAAGGCGTTTGGCCAGTGGCACAGCTCCAGCTCCAGCTCCAACTCGAACTCTGCGCCTCGCCGCTACAGGCGCGACATCCCCACTACGATAGAGATGCGCCTGGCGAATGGCACGTCACCCTGCCTGGGTGTGCGATGCCGTCGGCTGCGCTGCTACTTGGAGAATCTGGGATACGAGGATGCGGATGCGGCCTTTGTGGCCATACGTGCTCGCATGGTAGCCACCACCATGGAGAAGCTGGCGCCCACTGTGCCATTGAATGTATCCACGCTCGCCGTGGCGAACGTGACCAGCTTGCCCTTCATTGGCAAGCCCAAGGAGAAGATATTGAAGACGCACGAGATCTTCTACAAGGCGCAGCCAGAGCCGCAACAGGTGCCCGATGTGGTGCCGCTCTGGGTTGTTGTCTTGGCTGCATGTGCGGGTGCTCTGATCTTTCTACTGCTCGTACTGCTGCTCTACAAGGTGAGTGCTTAGCCAATGCAACAACCAACTGAGTCTCTTATATGTTCTATGTTTCCTTTTCCGTTTAATTTTTAGTGCGGCTTCTTCAAGCGCAATCGACCCGCAGATCACTCGCAGGAGCGACAACCGTTGCGCAACGGTTACCATGGCGATGAACATCTGTAAACTCATTGCAACCGCAGCAGCAGCTGTCAAAATTTATATAACAGAACTGCAAAAAAAAAACGAACAATTAACATCGCACTAAAAATGTACTAAAAACAATGCAGCTAGATGCAAACAAACAACGGTTCTAAAAACAGCAAAAAACACTACTAAAACAACGAACGCACTTAACCAAGTTTCAAACCGCGCACGCGTTTTAAAAACGCGGGCATAAGCACGACAACAGAAGCAAAAGAAAATTAAGAAAAAAAAAACTTACAAAAATCATGTGCGATGTTGCGTAGACTTTTTTTTTAAGAAGAAAAGAAAACAAGTAAAAATTGCCTAGTCACGAATTAAGAACTCTCGAAAGCGAAACGGTTTAATTATATAATTATATGTTTTTTTTTTTTTTATTATTTTTATTTCGACTATTTTTTTTTCCACGGAGCTTGCAAATATTTGAACGAAGGAGTTACAAGTGCTATATTAATCTCTACTAAAGATAACTATGTTAAGTGTATGTGTGAATGCCTGAGAGAGAGAGAGAGAATGTGTGACTGAAAGAGTGTGTGGCCATGAAAGAGTGAGTGAGCAGGAGACAGAGAGAGAGAGAGAGAGAATGCATGTGTTATTTCTGATTTTTTTTTGTTTTTCTTAGCTAATATAAAATGAGCAGAAAAGAAAACTAAATAAATGAATTTTATTTGTAACCACGATTCAAATGCTGCCCGCAGAGAAGCTGCCACGCCTACTGGTCGTAGCATAATTATAAAAATAAACTAAAATAATAGGTGCTAATTTACTATGTTTCATTGCACTTGTTTGCAACTTTTCAAGAAATTTTGTTGTGCGTGCGAGAGAAGTTAATTTTGAAAATACTTATTTATATACGCGATTTGATTGTTTTAAATTTATTTGTCAAACTCAAAGTTTGAGAAAATTGAAATTGGAAACAAATACAACTAATTCGATAAATTTGTGTAATATTATATATTTCTCCTTCTTATTCTGGTAAACCTCATTGTGTATATACTAAAAAACAAAAAAAGAAAACAAAAAAACCAAAACATTTAAGACGTTTATTTAATTAATAATTAATAATGCATTTATTTCTATTCTACACCGCAAGAAGACAGAAGAATACCGACTTCTTTCGGTGTATTCTCGAAATGAACAATGGGTAGTGTATCCGCATAGCTGGTTATTCCCCACAGTCTGCCCCCCTAGCTATTCAGTTTGTTATTCTTATAATTTTAAACACAACTCGCTATTGTTTAATTTATTAACTGTACTTATAAATGCGTGTGTTATACATATTTTTTCGCTAATATTGTATTACATTTAATTCTTTATTATAAATTTATAAATAAAAATTACGCTCGAATTGTAAAAACAAATGCACTTTTGACTTTAATTTTGGGTACAAGCTTGTAACAAAAAGCAAATTCAAAAATTTAAATCAATAATGAGAAACAATATCTGTCAGCTTGTGTCAGTTAGCATTTCTTCTACGTCATCTAGTTATCGCTTGGGAACTTGTCTCACTTTGCGCTAACGTACTCTTTCTGCGCTTACGTAGTTAGCGCTGATTGTGGGGTTCGTGTATTAGCTAAGCTGCGCGCCTGCAAATGTAAACAATTTTGTTTTAAATTTGAAGTCAACTCATTCTTTTTGCTTTTATTTAGTTAGAAATTACATGCAAATATAGTTTATTTCAAATTAAATAAATTAAATTTAAATTTAATACAGCATGCATCATGTTTGTTTGCAAGCAGCGGCAGTAGCGCGTAGCTGCACTCAAGCTACGAATACGTCGCACGATACATAGAACGGTAATTGCGGCGTTCATTTTGTTCTACATTTCACTTTAGTGCTCATTGAGAAAGCAACGCAGCGCGACGTGTGCTACGCAGTTGACGAGCGTTCGTAGGTGGTTTAGCTAGTGTGCACGTAAAACTGTAATTCTGTCTCTTCTTCATTCTACTTCAAATATCAACGAATGTAATATTTTTGTTTTCTTTTTCGGATCTTATATGCGTTTTTTTTTTGACTGTGTACGTAAGTGTGTATAGAAAGTGCATGGCTCTCCGTGAGAATCTAAGCTGAGCGCGGTTGCGAGAGTCAATAGTGTGAGAAATTTAAAGAGAGCAACAATAAATGCAAATCTAACTGTTAGCGTGTCTTTAAAGTGCGTTGTGGGCTAATATGTTTATTGAGTGTTGCTAAGTGTTTGCTGATTATTTTTGAAACAACAAATATAATTAACAAGAGTGAGAGCAACAACAATAACAAAGAACTCATATCAAAGGTAAAAGCAAAATTGTTTAAGCTGAGCTTCAGTTGGCGAGTGAATGTATATGTGTATATAGTTGTGTGTGTGTTGTGGAATGCAAGAGACAACAAAAGTACAAATGTGGAGTACATTCAGAGTAAAGAGAGCGTACTGCCAAGCCGTAGTTAACAAGTCAAAAAATGTCTCGGTGTTTGTGAGTTTTAGTTTATTTTATTTTACTTTTTTTTGTGAGAAATGCCGGCACAACCGGTTCGGCAAGTCACCAAACCAAGCCAAACCAGCGATAAGAACGAAAAAAAAAAAGAGAAAGAAATAAGAAGAAGAGCGGCGCGAGAAGCAATGTCAATGCTATGTACGAAGATCGCCACGGCAGCAGCAGAGGCAACGGCAGTGTTGTCTCGTTTTCATTGCATGAGATGCTGTGCTGCATTCTCTTCCCCCAACAACAGCAACATTGTATCGTTTTTATAGCTTGAGAAGCCACGCAGTATTCAGCTGGTGGTTGTTGATGTGACTGCCAGCCACCCACCCACACAGGACACATGTGCTCGTTCCTAAAAAAAAGAGAAACGCAAAAATTCCCATAATTAATGCGTAACAGCGGTGACGTCGACGTCGACAGCAGCTGCGTCGTCAGCGCTCAGGGATGCGCAATAACCGTTCGCAGGCGAGCCATGCACATGCGCATGTGCATGTGTGTTTGAGTGTGTGTGTTTGTGAATACAGATCTTAGCTCTGTCGGCGTTGACGTTTCCGCTTCTTTTAGTGCTGCTATTACTTTTACGCGAATTCACGTACCGTTAACTTTTTCCTTCTCTTTCTTGTTTTTGTGCATGTGCAAGTGCTGCTTGTTGTTGTTAATGTAGCATCGTTTGGTTTTGCCTTTGCATTTGCGCATTGTGGCGCTCACGCACGACTTGAACCCATCGACTCCTCCCACCCCCACACACATAGCTCGTTAACTGCCGTTACCTTTTTTCACCCGCATCATCGCATCGTTTATGCACGTTGCTAGTTCCACTATCCCTGATACCCTTTTAAACTATGGTATTAGCAATAATATCACAATATACATATACATACACATGTATGCAACTTAATAATTATACTCGAGTCGCTTTGCAGTTGGAGCATATGTATGTATGTAGAGATATTTTTATAAGGGTATTTAATTTTCGGTATTCAAAAATCAGCTGTAATTTCTGGTGTTCTTTTTGCAGTTGTTACAAAGCAGCTGCGAACAGTGTTTACGGTTATTGTATGCAAACCTAACAATATACATATGTATGTATGTTCGGTGCGAGCTGCGTCTGGCTTTGTGTATGTGTGTGTTAGTGATGTACATAAATATGGCAACTAACCGCACCTTCTTCCGTTAAACGTTTGAACTTCTGATTTACGCTTGAACTAACAGCAAAGTCGTCATCGCTTTCACGTTGTTTCGTATAAGCGAACTATATATATCTATATATACATATGTACATATATAATGTCTGTGAGATTGAGTTTGTGTGTATGTAAGTTTCCATGTATGCAAAAAAATAAATATATGTATGTATATTGCAGGAGCAGTTTTGAAATCGGTTGGAAAATGAGAAACTTAGCTTGCCAATAAATTTTGAGCTGCGATTATTTTTAGCATCGTTACGTTACGTTATGCCGCATACGTTATCAGTAAGTTGTCTGTTGATTATCACCTTGTCCATGTAGATTATCACCTTACACACATATACGTGTGCAGGGTATCTGCAAGTCGTGTACTGCCGAGCAGCTAAAGATTTTGATTGATTACTGTTTTCTAATCTATAAAAACAATTTGAATACTGATATTTTTTAATGTATGTATGTATAGAACAATTTTATTTGATTTGTTTTTACCTGTTTATATTTACTTAAGTGCATATCAGGTGCAACATATCGAGTACACACTGTACGCGTGCAAATGTTTGTCTAGGTATTATTATATGTACATATATATTTTTTTTAAATATTCTGCTGCACATTGCCTTATCAGTTGTCGCTGATCAAACACATTCACATTTACCTTGTGCACAACTGAGCGTAAACAGCGCAGTCGGCGGCGCTGCTGGCGTCGCTGTTTAGCAACTACAACTAGGCTGACAAATTGTTGACACATTTATTTTCAACGACAACAGCAATTCAGAGCTCTGTTGTTGTTGGAGTTGTGCAAGCCAGGCTGGCTGCCGGCAAGGTTATTGACGGGCAGAGCTGCCCAATACAAATGTCAAATTTCTAGTTTCTGCTTATACCCAGCACTCATTACTAACGGGTATACCAAGGCCCATGCCTATGCAGCCGATCATTCTGTCTCTATAAGCTACATGGACATTTTCCGTCTATCCTAGATTTTATTGACAAATATTTGAATGCTATGTGAAAGTCAATAAAGAGATACCCTGTAATGCAGAATATTGTCAAATATGAATATGTATAGTGTGGTATAATTAGGGGAATCTTTAGGTCGAGTGTTCGGCGGTTGGGTCTAGATTTTAGTTACAAACAAATATTTGAATGGCATGTGAATGTCAACAATGAGATACCCTGCAATGCAGTACATTGCTATATATGAGTATGGGTACGGTATGGTCTAGCACTCGAGGCTAGATTTTTGTAGATGATGGCATGTCATGAAATACCCTGTAATGGTGCACATTATAATATATGTATGTGTATATTAGAATAGCATATTTATCAATGGGTATCTTATGGTCGTGCACTCGAGACTAGACCGAGTTTGCTTGTTTTTTGTTTGTTTGTTTGTTGTTGTGTCAAGTATCTTGAAACATTTTTATACCCTGAACCCATTGAAAATGGGAAATCAGGGTATAATGTTTTTGTGTAAAAGTATGTAACAGGCAGAAGGAATCATCGCAGACCCCACAAAGTATATATATTCTTGATCAGC